TTTTGCCCTGTTCCATCATCTATCATAGAATCATAGAATCACAGAATAGTTAGGGTTGGAAAGGAGCTTAAGATCATCTAGTTCCAACCCCCCTGCTGTGGGCAGGGACACCTTATACTAAATCATATTACCAAGGCCTTGTCCAACCTGGCCTTGAACACTGCCAGGGATGGAGCATTCACAACCTCCCTGGGCAACCCATTCCAGTGCCTCACCACCCTAACAAGAAAGAATTTCCTTCTTATATCCAACCTAAACTTCCCCTGTTTAAGTTTTAACCTGTTACCCCTTGTCCTGTCACTACAATCTCAACTCAGCAGCACTCAGATTTGAAAGGAAATTTCAATCCGTTAACTTTTTATCTTGGCTATTTACTTTTCTTATTTATACTAAGCTACTTCAGCTAATTCATATTTGTGCTTCTTCTCTTTTGGTTCACTGACACTGTCAAAATCTCGCAATATTAAAAAATGAGCAAATAAAAACAGGAAGAAGAAAAAAAAAAAAGCAGCCAAACAAATGAGAAGCTTTTTCCATTCCTGTTCAAACCAGATAACCGAAGTGTATAGCTGTTGTGAGTTATGACTTTAAATTACACAACAAAACGAGGGTTGACCAATATTCCTAAGTATCTGAAGAAAGCCTTTACTTAAGTAATTCTTAATTTTCTTCTTCGGTTGCTGTTTGGCTTCTCTAATGCATCAGAATTCCCATTCATCTACAAATATTTATGCCTTCTTGCACCTTAGGCAAGGAGACCCCTTCAAACATCATAGATTCACCTTTTTTAGCTCCCTCTTGATTTGGTGTAAAAATCAACTAAGCATTGAAAAGTGACAGATTATTTTCTTTTATGTGTGAGAACCCCTAGATTCAGAAACCTAAATACCATCTTGAAGACTTCAAAATTTAAATCAAGTTGAACCAAACATAAACCATGAAAAATCAAAAGTGTTCTGAGCAGATATTTACAGGGTAATAATAAAATAGAAGGAACTGAAGCTTATGCTGATCTATCAAACCTATCTCCAAGTATAATAAACAAAACAGTTCTAGGAAATTAAATATAGTAACTAAATTAATTAGAAAAAGTCTAGAATGGAAGACTGAAGGAATTATCTGAACACTGTAAAGTCTAGTGAAGTCATAAATCTGAGAATTCCTGTAAACTTTATGTTCAGAAATGGACAAGATAGAGCAGCAATCATAAAAATTCCAAAAAGTCTACCCTAGGAATTTATTAGGGCATCAATTTTTAGATACCAACATAAATTTGGAGTTTTGTTAGAAAGCGGATGGTAATATATGATTTCTAATTATTTATGAGAATGCATTAGGATTCAAAAGGGAATAACTGATTTTCTACTGAAGGCATTGGAAGCCTTTGGATCAAACTTCTAAAAATCAAGGTGTTTATTTTGATTTTAAAGAGTATGAACTCAAAATAATATCTTGTTTGGAGTTTGATCAGAGACGTAATTGATGGCAGAATTATAATGAAATTTCAGAGCGTATCCTTTCCACTGGACTATGCCATAGGCAATAAATCACTAAATGCAATCTCCTAATTTTCTTTTTTTCTTTTACACAATGCTACATAGGAATTTGAAAATCCATACACATGAAGAATCTCTTTCTTTGTGCGTGGTCTTACTGACATTTTAGCAAAAATACGATTAGGTATTTACAATGTTGAAACTGAGATTATGAAATAACAGCAAAATCTATTTACTACATAATTTATTTTACTTGGTGCCAGCAGCTGCTTTGTGTAGTCAGTGATGAAGTCATACAGAATAGAAAAGAAAGAGGAGATCATCTCATATGTCTGCTTTCCTCCTCCAAAGCTGAATACCTCCTCCCTGCTTGGAATTTTCCAAATGACTCCTATGTTTCTGAACCTAATTTCTCCATTTTGCAAGACTATCAGTAAACTCTTCTGTAGCTTTCTATCACAAAATCTTCAATAACAAAAGCAATGGAGTTTCTATCTTGCAAAGCTCTTAACAGATGTAGTTGTTAAAACTTCCCACCCTCGTTTTCAGTGTTTCCCCAATAGTTATAATCAGCAACAGCATAAAGAGATAATTGTTGAATGACAATGGTGTAAATTCCACTAAATTGCCGGATGTTAATGTTATGCAATGTTCCACCGTACATGTATTTATGAGCATGGGAGACCTTTCCTTATTTACCTCAGACCACTTCCATCAATTTCTTGGTGAATGCTGTCATTTTTGTAAGGACTTGTCTGCATAGATATTGCATGATTCTGTGTGTCTCTAAATGCTGATTTTTTCCCCTCTTTACCTATTACGCTTGTCACAGGAGTCTCTAGCCTGAAATCAACATAAATGAGTGTGCCTGGCAATATGTGCATGCACAGTCACACAGCCTCATCTGTGAATCCGCAGCAATTAATTATATTTATAGTGAAATATCTGCAGAACATTTGCATGTATGAATTATGTATTGGGTAAAAAGCAGTACACTATGGTTTATGCATTTTTGTTCTCATGAGAGTCCCTTTTTGACTGTAATATATGCTATAAAGTAAAACAGATTTTTATTAATTTGTCTATCATTTTCATGATGAAATAACTCTTTAATTAAAGATATTCTTTTTAGAAGTGTTTTTCAAATAAGTAGTTATCCTGGTTTTACCGCTATGTTTTCCAATACATTTTCCATTACTGTTTAATGTATTATCATTTAATATTAAATTCTTCTAGAAAGCACCAACAAAACCCCAGTATCATCAATGAGTACAGGCCAGAGTTTAAGGCAATGAAGTGTGCATGAAATATAAGCATAATATGATTATCCCTCTTATTATGGTTATTACAATACATAATGAGCAGTGTCAGTCTGTTATCTTATCATTTTATTATTTTGTGAATTCACCCAAGAGTAAAATGTAAATGTAGTAGCTGAGAAGTAATGAGTCAATGGGCTGGGAAGCATGATAAAGAAATAATAAGACGGTAGAGGTAGTATGCTGCAAAGACTGTTCTTAGCTAGACTAATTGTATGCTCTGAAATTAATTACCTGCTACAAATATGACAGGTGGCTAAGTTAGCTGTGAAAGAAAACAGAACAGAATATTCAGAAAACCTTTTTTCTTTGCTAAACAACTTTTGGTGACAATACTGAATTAAAGCTTCATATACTAAAATTAAACTGCGTGAGGCACCTGTTCAGAACTTATTCTTGGTTTTTCACATGCTGTCCTAAACAGGGATGCACCAAAATGCAGCTTTAAATTTTTCTTGAATTAACGTCTGCAGATGGAATGACTAACATTCAGCTTCAGTGTACATCTCTATTTTTTTAAAAGAGCAACATAAATTACGTAAGAAATAATGAGGAATCAGAGAATCTGTTTAAAAAGTGATTGAATAAAATTGTTTCTCAAAAAAATAATAAAAAAAAATCATAGATTTTATTTTAAAACCCCTAAATTCTTTCATGGTTAGGTCAGAATTCCTTGCACCTCTCTCACACTGTGTAACGAATGTATATATACCCCTTGTGCCTGTTTGCTTGTGTAGAGCTTTGCAGCCTGGAGGAAGATTCAAAACATTAAAACTGAAATGATATAAATTAAATCTGTGTGAATATTGCTCCCTAAATATTCTAGTTGCTTACAGTTATCACAGAATTTTGACAGATTAATACAAACCATTAAAAAATAATTATTATCATAACACTTGAGAAGAATTCTAAAATGAGGTTGCTTTTTTACAAAATCCTGGTCAGCATCACCGCACACTCCTGTGTTCCTTAATTTATTTTGCTGTAAGACAGTACTCAGCCTGGAATTATCTTTGTTTGAGAGGAGGAGGGGGTTATATTATTCTTCAAGGTTCGGCTGCAGGAAACATTAACATTCATTGACCTTGCAGTGCTAATTTGTACTGATGAGCATCATTATATGACTGGTATATTAAAGGAGCTTATTAGAGATAGGAAGCATCCTATGCTATTCAGAGACACTATTACCATTTGAGATGTGGCTGTCATGAAGTGTTCACATACAGAAGACATTTGGAAAAGTGGAAAAATACTAGAATAGTTTAGCTAAGCCATCAGGTTATTATGGCTCACAGGTCAACCTTTTAAAATCAGATCATGTGAAAAATTCACATTGATACATTCCTGGTAAAGAAATATCACATCTTTCCAATTTTAACCACAGAACTATTTTCTTTTAGTGGATGAGTAAAAATTTAAGAGTGTAGTGAATGAGAAATACACGTTTGGGAGTAGAGTCACTCTCCGTTCTGACCATAGAGATGCTGGCCAAAAATAGAACTGTGATTGCAGTATTCTAAATAGAGAGTCACCCTGCAAGCTCTTCTTAGGAGGTGCAACACATCTCATTACCACATTTTGGAAGAAATATGTTGTTAACAGAGGATTTTCTTCTTGTATTGAGGCCATGAATATAATTATCACTTGATAATTTACAGCATGCCAACTGTTTTACTGCATCTAGTAAGCAGTAAAGCACTATAGGGAACATGAAGTTTGTGGCACCTGCAACTCATTAAGAGGGCACTATCAGAAACAAAATGTTTAGTTATCATGTAGTGCTTGGCTATACGCGAGCAGCATTTAGGATTAATTTGGGGATGCCTGCATAAACGACCACTGGTGACATAAGATGATTGGGGAGTATATGTTCAGAACAAGGAACATAAAAAGCCTTACCAATTTATGAAGGGAAATTAGTTTTCTTCAAAAGTAGAGCATACCTTCTCTGACTTGTCATAAGAAGCTATTTTTCCTAATGGTCTTCTCTGTGCTTTCTCTTGCTTCTCATGTTCTGTACACACTTCTACTAATAAAAGCGTTTACTATGTAACCAGAGGTGAAGGTGTTTAAAATGAATCACTTCACTAATTAAAATAAACAGATGCATAAAACATAAAAGGAAACCTCAGGTTTTATTTCTTAGCAGATTTAAAATTTCCCCAAGATCAAGAAGTTACCCAGCTGAAACCATAATTTATTTCAGAAGTGCTACAACAACATTTTTGTTGGTAGTTCCTTTCAGTATCAGGGACACTGCACGACTCAGCCACTCCCATGCAAGCAATTGAGCATGTTTGAGACACTTACTGTATTCAGAGTACAAGTACTAGTTTTATCACATATGCATTGCAAGCACATCCACCAAAGTTGAATCCTATGTTCTTCAGGATTGTCTGAGATAAGAGGTCACTCAGGAAGCTCATGGAGCCTGTTCCCAGTTGCCCTCTTCATTTGAGGTAACTCATGTGCATTCAGGGAATGGGTTAAGAATTGTATTAATTGAGCTGGGTACGCAGCAGGAGAGGGATCCTTGTGGAAAAGTAACTGTGTAAGATAAGCTACCTTCTCCAAGACTATCCTGTTGGCACTCAAAATGTCACAAGAAGCTGCAGGATTTAAATGCAGGTGAAATACGAGGCAGTGTATGGAGGTAAAGAGGAAAGAAAATCTGGAGCAAGGAATGTGGTGATATGGAGACTGGGTTCGTAAATGGAAACAAGGATTAATAAAAAGGAAGATTGGTTGAACTAGGGACAAGAAGTTAGCAAGAAAAATGGAGGCCTGGGAATCAGTTCACTGGGGGAGAATGACTTCAAGGTAGAAACAACCAAAAACAGATACCTTCAGCAAATGAACTCAAAATAAAAAGTAAAGAGAATAGGAAAGTAATAGGACAGCTCAGGCAGGTTTGATAACAGCCAAGAATATAGGCCACTCAGCCTGTATATAGAGCCAGCATATACAGCCTTTTGAGATAAGACTGACTGGACAAGTAGACTGGGACAGTGAGCGAGGCTGATTGCCAGGTGAAGATTGAAAATGAGACCTGAAGGAGGGAGATGGGGAGCCAGAGTAAAGAAGAATGTGAATGAAGAGGCAGGAGAGCAAAGTAGAGCAAAAATCTGAATGAAGAAACTAAAAAGGGAGTAGAGGGTGAGGCAAAAGAGCCTGGACCAAGACAGGTAGTACCAGAATGGCTGGGAAACTATGGGATTAGTGCCAGAAAGCAACATCAGGAAAAAAAAGGTCTGCCTGAGCAAAACCACAAAGGCTAGGCTGAGAAATTAAATGGATTGCTTGGATGTCAAAGTACATTGTACTAGAACAAAGAGAGATTGGAACAGCAATAGAAATCAAATATATGTGTGTACTTTCCTATTACCATTACTGGATGCTCCATGCTGGAGCCATTATAAACCTGAAGGTTTTTAAATCTCATAATTTCTCTCTTATTAGCAACACTTGTAAATCCTACTGAGCTGCTCTCCCACTCTGCCACTGTCCCTTCACCATCTAGTAACATTTAGTAGAACACCCTGCTACTGGCTACAGCAGCTGATGTAGCTGAAACAGTGCATCACAAAGTTCAAACATGCAATGGGCACATGCACAAGGAGTAATAATATGTTGCCCAGGGATAAACTTTAACATTTTTTAACATTTTCTCTGTTATTTTAAAGAATTCTGAAGTTACATACAGAAGAACCTGAAAAAATTGGCTAAACCCCTGTGCAATGGTAACTGGTAATTAGCATCCCAAACATTTCTGTGCAACTTTTAAATCAGTGATTCTTCAATACCATATTGTGAACCTTTCTGCTCTTAAGAAAAAAGCAACACTAATGCTAAACATTAGAAGCATCTAGTAACATGGAAGATATTAAGTCTTATGTGTGCTGCCTGTAGATAGTTTGTTCATGATTCATAATTGCTCATATTGAATGAGTCATCCTAAAGCAGATCATCAGCCATCTTCCAGCTATTTCCCCTTCCCTCCATCAAGGACTTTGTGCTTGATTTAACAAGAGGCTTTAAAAAGTAGCTGGAAAATAGAGAGGACTTTTGTTTTATACGGATAAGTGTGAGTAGAAATTAATCTTTCTGTAGACTAAGTAACCCAGCGTTCAGTGGTTTTCTATGCTTTATACTGAGAAACAAGCCTAGGCCTCCCTTTTCAGAATGAGACGCCCAGTTCATAGCAATGTAATTGTACTTCAGCATTCAAGTTGATGCAGGCGCGTAGTATACAGCAAGCAGCAATTAGAGTTAAATGAAAAAAGAAGAGACCCATATTTGGTTGAAAACTGATCCAATTAAAGTCTGTTAAATTGACCCATTTTATACTACGCTAACCATGAATAGGGCTCTGGATAGAGTTTTTGGGAGTCTGCCAAAGGAGGGACCATTGAGTACACACTTTTACATATTAAGTAGCAAATATTCTATCATGAGACTAAAGGATATTAGGACCAGTTTTCCAAGAAAGGGATTGAAGCCTAGCTCCCTACCTTTATGTTAGTCAGAGAATACACTTCTTTCCTCCTTACGCATTCATTGCACAGTGCCAAATAATTCTGGACTTGTGAAAACATATGCAAATTCTTACCTGAGACTATTTCCTATTAATAAATTCTTCTGATTGTGCTTCTTTCCACACTTCTGTTCCTTTGTCCTTCTTATCGTGAGGCATTGTTAGGGGAAAAAAAAAAACAAAAAAAACAAACAAAAAAATAGATTGTTAGTTATTACAGACTGATTACTATGGAGATGTGTTTGTTAGCATCTACACAAAGCTGATCAAGACCAGAAAGTCATTTCTGTGGATGTTTTGGAGGTTGGTTTTTTTTTTTTGCAAAAAGACTGACAAAATCAAACCCAAAAGAGTATGATTTATTATTGTTTACATTATCCTCAATATACTGAATAAAGAATGAACATGCTGGACCAATATTCTGCAAAACTTGCCTTAAAAGAAAACAGTCATTTCGCACAATTCTTTTTTCTCCCCCCCTTCACTGCAAAGGGAAGAAAGATGACCATATAAAAATAAGCTTCCCCCCCACCCTCCTATATACAGTTCTGTTTCAATTCTGTTAACTATTGAAAGAAAAGTCATTATTATAGTAACACTAGGCATCATGTGAGTTCTATAATTGCACCTGGTGCAATAGGTACAGTTGTCTCCCATAGTAGTGATGCAGCATTTAAATCAGTGAGCCAAATTTATTCTGTGTGACTCATGTGTCTTCAGCAGTGTTATAATGGGAATTAGTCTGTTCCAATAGACTTAGCTGTTTCATAGGAATGCCACGTACTTTTATAATTTTGATTAACATTCCAAGACTAAACTTCAACTCTCAGCCCCCAAGCACTTTCTGTTTAATTCACCATTTCTGCTGTTACAACACCTTTTCTGATGCAGTCCATCAATCAGGTTACTGTTCTTAACAATGATCTATAAATTGCCCAGTTTCCTAAATAACAATGATAATTTTTCTTAGTTACATCTTAGAGGAAGAGCTCTAAAAGCATTTCTCACTTTTTTCTTAGCACAAAGATAAAAGAATTTCTCTCCTTTCTGGACAAAAATCAGCTTTGAAATTTCTTCCCGACAGTGCTTCAGAAGTCGCACTGCAGCATCTTAACTAGGAATAGAAGTTTCCTGTTATCACAGCAATGAATCAAGACTGACTGTAACACTTGCTTCATAGCAGCAAAGAACTCTTGAGTTGGATTATATGAAACTTATCACTGAAGAAAGCAAAGCAGTAATAAAGCTCAGAGCAGCAGAAAGAGATTGCTATTTCAGTGACAGTGTTTTGAATAATTATTTCCTAATTCCCATGTTAATTTCTCTATCTTTACCATCTTGGGGTAATAGAATCAGTTTTCACTTCCAGAGGTGTAATGTCTTGCCAAACCTGTTAGCTTTATTGTGCTTTACAATAGAGAAACCTGAACTTTTTTGACATTAGTACAAACAAACAAACAAACAAAACCCCTGAAACCCAGCCACTGAATAGATCCGTGAATATCTGCTTCATGTCACAGCTTGGCTTTGCCAATATCCAAGTACAGGGAGCCATAGCAAAAGTGTTATAAAAGCGAGTAAGCCTTTGCTAATATTTGGATACAAGAGAACAATGAGACAAAACAGAAAAATCAGTATCTGCAAGACCCAGTCTATTAAGGTTCTTGTGTGTCTCCTTATCAGAATAAATGATCCTCCTTCGAGTAGGTAACACCACCTTTTCTTATTCTCCCCCTCCTCTGCCTCCAGAACAGAGAACTGTGATAGATTCCTCTTCTATCCATTTTCTCAATTCTAGGATTGAATGTGTTTAGAACCTGAGATTAACCAAAGTCAAAAATCCAGAATGACTTAACCTAGAAGAATAGTTAGAAGCTACTATGAAGAAAGAGATTTACTGCCCCCCCCCCCCCCCCCCCCCTTTCAGGGACATCCAAACACAAACCCTCAGAACATTACACCAAAAAGAGGAGAAAACATCAGCTAAGCTAATACTCAGCAGCACAATCTTGAGTTGGTTGCCTACACAGCATCCCCCAGGCTGCAACCTGGGTGGGCTTGTACTCAGAGGACCACAGACCGCAGAGCATTGCAAAGGCTTTTCGATCTACTCACTCTCATTCTACTTCAACCACTAATGTAAATCTTTCCAAAACAATATCTGAATCGTGCAATCATAAATACATAGGCTGGCAAATCTTCTCAGTTGCATTTTTCACTTCAATTGCACGTCTGAAAATTGGGTTTGGATGAAAACATTTACATGTCTAAGTCTAAACTGTATGCCTCATTCTGCAGTTGTTGAAAATTCCAGCCCCAAATGTCCTTATCAGATACACCTTACTGCATACTTTATTCCAACTGTATACCAATAAAATCCTCAGAAGGAAAACTGCAAGAATGAGAACAGCCCACTATGTGTTTGAAAACCAGAAGATTCAGAGATAACCATAACTTCTTCAGTGTCAGGCTGTAAAGGTACATCCCAACACTGGCTCTGCTAATAGCTATTAGGATGGATTATTGTTACAGCTGCTAATTGGCAGCTGGGTTTGAGCACGTGAGTAGCTTTACGATTGGCTGCCATCGAGTTATTACAGCAATTGATAAAATACACCCCTGCGGTGTAGCTGCAGTAACATGAAACTCGTTTTTTAGCAATACAGCAGACTACCTCCTACATTCATCTTGCTGCTTTGTAATTTCGAGGGAGCAAAACAGGACAGAGAACAGGAGGGAAATGCCCAGAATGTCTGGAAAGCTTCTCATTTTAATCTTTGCATGTACCCAAGAGGTGAACATTAACAAGGGCTGGGGAATGTGTTCTCCTTGGAGTAAATGCTAATTTAAACTTTCACTGTGATCTGATATGCTTTAAAATGCAGCAAATCCCTTATTTATGAGTATAAAGGCCATGAAAGGGCTTTCGAATCTAACCCTAGGGGGCTCTTCAAGTGCATGAACCCAGCAATGTTTAACACTTACCCTTGAACAGTTGCTTGAAAAGGATAGAGAAAAATACCTGGTAGACTGTCTCTTCTGAACAGTTGAGAAAGCTGCTTGCATGAAATGAACAAAACATTTTCTTAAGAAAATGCTTTCTGGTACTGTAGCTATTGCTAATGCACTTTGTTATTTAGAATTCACGTTTCTAGAGCAGAGATGTTGCATATATTTTTTATGACATAATCTCTCACATAAATGCAAGTTTTGGAATGCTGACAGGACAATAAAGAAACCGTGCTGTATTTGGGGAATAAATAACATCTCTCATCATGTCACATATCAAAAAAGTTGTTAAATGTATCCTTTGATTTTTGTGATTTATTTTTTCACAAGGAATTCCATAACACTGGCAATAAGACATTATATAAATATATAAAATAAGATGTATTCTAAATGCTACAAGCAGTTAAAAGGCTGTGTGTTCTACAAATAAGATTTGAAATATGTTCCATGAGAAACAAGTATTATAAATTAAATCTGTTAAGCTCATGCAGAGTTAGATAAGGTACCCTGGAATCAATAGTTATACTTACATAAAACTTGTTGAGAAATTGCTCCGTTGACTTATATCTTGCTTCTGAGAGTGTTTGTATTGCTGCTAATAGGACTACAAAAGAATCCTTTCATAAAACTCTGGTGATCCTTTGGGATGATATAAGATACCAGTATGGTGCATTCCCAGCAGTCTGCCTTCCTTCCTCCCCTCCTCCACTGCCCAAGGTTAGCATCCAGCCTAGCCTCAGTAAAATATATAAGCTGAATCTTCATTCCCAGCCTTCACAGCCAGAAAAATTAGCATCAGCTGCCATTGGTCTTGGGTTAAAATAACTTGCCAAATAGTGAATGCAGGGAAGACTTGCAGGCTGATATGCAACAGGTATTTGTTTTCACCTTCTTTGTTCCAACGGACAGTATTCCCTCCAGCACAGGGACAGACTGTTGCTGGGACTGGAAAATGCTCAAAACATCCCTCCGTGCAGGAAACTCCTGCAGGGTTTGTCTGTAGGCATCCCAAGACTTGTGGTTCCTGACAAACTTCAGTATTAATTAGTGCAGCATTGCTCTGACTCTTCCTGAAAATATGAAGCATACAAGTGCTACCATAGCTGCTTATTTTCATTAGTGTTTCCTCCTTGAAAAATAAGATAAAGCATTCTAATAACACACAAATATACAGCACATTCAGACACATCTAATTAGAAGCTGCCTCACACTTATTTCTAAAATACCTTGTTAAAAAAAAGAAAAAAAGAAAAAAGAAAGAAAAAAAAAAGCTCTATTTCTGCTATAAGCCCAGACTACCTGTTACAGGCTGTTTGAAAAAGGAATACTCTTTTCTCTTTCTGCAAGCTATCCAGCTGCTACTCTTTCCACCTGAAAGCTTTAGCAAGAGTAGGAGCTACTGGTACCTATTCTTTAGCTTTTTCAACATTTCCAGTAAAGTAAATACTCATTTCCATTTAAGACCAGCCTCTTGGTGGGCTTAGTCTCTCCTGAGCAAATTTACCAAACCAGCAAGCTATACCTTTCTCAAACAGAGTGCTTTCACCTGGAGTTCTTGTTCTCTTTTTTCCCCTGACAACCTACAAGTGTGGTCACTGATAAGTCACTGAGGACAACAAGCAGCTCCCAAGTCTGTTTGAGAGCTTGATAACTCTGTCCTATTTCATAAAGCTAGAAACATACACTACCTCCAATCCAAGAACTGGAGCTAATATGCAAAAAGTGATACAGCAGTTTCACTTGCTGAACCATCTTTTGTATCATACCCACTAGTAGTGGAAATCAGCTTTTTGGCCAATAAGTATATGCATAATTATACAGAATGAACATTGTACCAAACAATTTCTGTGCTGAAAAATATACAGATGTGGAACATGAGGATTACGACACCATGTAAGATAGGTGGTGCAGTGCTTCAGCTATCCCAGCTTAGTCAGAAGTTCATGAGTACTCAGATAATACTTCATCATCTTAGGTAATGATAGAGGGCCCCTGAGATGAGCAACTGAGGACCTGACCATGAGGAAAAAATTGTAGTAACTTTCCCTTAGTCAGTAGAATGGTTCTGTGTAAGAGAGAAAGTTTAAAAGTTCAAGGTTTAAAACATCTTATAAATTTGTGCAGAGACTGAAGATGAAAAGGATAAGGAGATTAGAAAAAATCCTGATGTTTATACTGCATGGAAAAACCGCAAAAATTCATGCTTATTATGCAGTGAAGTGGCAAGTAGAGACTGGCGCTCATTCTGAATATAAGCTGGTTTATCTACATGGCACAGTAAAATAACCATGAAGCGTTATTAGCTTGGTACAATTATAAAGAAGGAAAGCTAACCAGCAGGGGCACAGCACCACCTGTCATCCTGCTTCCTGGATGTGAGTTAGCTCAGTTATCTCAAGTTTTGTAAAGAAGAAATACCCAGCAAAAGAAGTGGAAAAGATCCAATTCACCTCATCTCAGCCACAGAAATTCCAAATTGAAATTCAAATTCAAGGCCTGGATGAGCCATAAATCCTGGGGGCACTTGAAACTGTTGTGTAAGAGATTGTGAGTAACGAGCTTCAGTTTTACATTGCTAATAATAGAAGCTACTTTAACATTAAAGTCTTACAATGTTTTACACCGATGATTACCTGTACTTCTTTATTTTTTTCTTTTTGCTGTAATATCCTCTTTTGAAATCCCCTCACAAACCAATATAAAAGTTATTATATGAAAGTAATATGTATTGTAAATGGTTACAGCTTCTCTAAGAGTTACATGCCTTTTTACTACACCAAAGTTTGGCCAAGGACTTAAGCATTCCGTATGTCTTGAGATAATTTTATTTATAGGAGGACTGGGTATGTGGGGAAACAAGCTATTTAAGGGAAAGGACGAGCAGAAAAGAAGTGACCAGTGCCATAAATAATATTAGTCTTGATCGTAGAAGAATATCTTCAGCCTTCAATAGAGTGATGTTCTGGAGCAGCACTATACTAGTTATAAATACCCTGTTGTTCTTCAGGTAGAGATGAATGCATTTCTGAAGGGCACTGTGTGATGTGACTGATCATAATACAAGGCTGAGTTCAGTATCTTAAGAATCTCTTTTCCATCTCATGTTTCTGCATTTCCTCCTCTAATACTGATAAGGAGCAATGCATTTATCTGCATCCAGAGGTGAAGTATAGTTTGAATCAGTTTCCTCAGTTCTTTGGCATCTTACAGTATCTAGAGAGAAAGATACAGTAGGTAGTCCCAAAAGCACTTTAGCATCAGTGAGAAGACTCCTGTGACATTCAATAGATTGCACATGAAGCCCTTAGTACAAAAAAGGGGGGGATTCAAAGTATGCTATGCAGATTATTTCCAGGTGGTATGTGAGTTAAGGTACCCACAGTTTATCCTGTTGATGACTTCTCAGAAAAGAAGCTTCTAAAGTATCCTAGAGAACTCAGACTTATGGACAATGGGAAATCTTGATTGAGATGCTTAAACTTAAGGGCAGATTTCATAGGAACTGTGAGCTCTTCCCAGAAATTTTACCCTACATGAGGGAAGTGTCCCAAAGGTAGGAGGTATCTGAGACTGACATCTGCTCATAGCTAGCTCTACACTAGAGTGAGCTTTTCTTTCTCCCTTCTAATTTAATAGAGACTGTTTAGAACTCTCAGGGCAGAGCAGACTCCCTGCTGCATTCAGCAGAGCTGCAGCAGAGATGAGTTGTATATATTCCACAGTAATAGGAATTTCAGACCTGCATTCAAACCTTATTTCTGACAAACTGAACAGAGCCACAGCCAGAAGCTGCAAAGTTTTTCCAAAGGTACCCAAATGGTAAATGCAGCTCACCACAGCTGATGAAAGGGAAGCCCCCCTGCCATGTGATTTGTACGTGTATACAGTGACAAATAAAGCCTTATCATCATTAAAATGACATTTCCTATCTTGGGATAGGCATGGCTCTCATAATGGAAGTGAGTCAGAGTACTCTCACACAAGCAGGTAGTAAGACTACTTCATATATACATATAAAGATTTCCTAATTTCTTTCATAAAGTCAGAAAATAATTTAGATTGTGTTGATCAAAGTTCTGACATGCCAGCATTTTTATCTCTATGCCAGATTTATTTATTACTTTTTAATGATATTTTTTTCCTTTCTCTCACAGTTTTGTAATAGTTAATTGGTATTTGTATAATTTTGTGGAAACCAAGTGTACTGTGCATAAATGAGGAATTCTAATCTGCTGAAATGCCATTCTTTTGAAATAATTCAACAGCTCATTACTTCACTGAGTGCAGCATCTGTATTCATAACTTAGGAAACTCATGCACAGCACACTTTTGCCTTAGACACTGTACGAAAGACTAACTTCTAATTTCACAAAAGGCCTGCTATATGACAGAGAAAACAAAATGTTTCCTAGTTCTGTTAGTGTAGACCACACTTTGCTCAGTGTTGGCCATGTTTACTCCTGCCTGTTCTCAAGCTCTAGAAAGAAAACATTTCATTCTTGTGTAAGTTCATTTTACTAAACCTTTCCAACAATATCTTCTCTTCCCTCCTTTTCAAAATGACCAGATTAAAACATGACAGAGTAAAAAGAATAAATGAATATTCTGTTCTCATTTTCACTGGAACCAGTTACTTAGTACTGCAGACAACAGGCAAAATCCAGACTGGGTTTAAGAGGTGATGCAATTTATCTGGTAGCTTATCCTGAGTGGAAATTAAAACCACATACTTTCTATTTGCTTCACATCCAAATGCCAGTTGATGTCTGGTCTTACATTACATTACATATAACAAAGTCAGAAATGTAACTTTCATTGAAAGACAAAAGAAAGATATGCTCATTAGACCATCAAACTGCAGATTTTCTCAGAAAAGAGAAATATTATATATGCCAACTAAGCAGTTATTGACACTAAAGTAAATTCTTACGGCAGCATAAAAGGGTGGTCCTTATTAATTTAACACATCCTTCATTTCCTTCAAGTTATCATTCATTCTTGTAAGAGACTAATCAGAAAAACATAGCCTGCAAAGATGTAATAGCCTGTAAGACAATTTAGAGTCATTGTTTAGCTCTACGCAGGAGTACATATACAGGAAACATTCCATTTTAGTCACAGGGGACTGATTACATGGAGCATACTGTGTTTCTTCCTATCATTTTTTGACAACTTATTTAGTTCAGACTCCTTCTGGAAGCTGCATTTACCTATTTCTACATCTGTCCTAGAAAAATATGATCTGGAAAACAGAAAACCCTTTCAAGCTGTGAGAAAGTGAAACTCTTTTATGTTTTTGTTTGTTTTTTTTTTTCTAAAGACTACTTTGCTTAGAACTTTGGATTTTCCTGCTATTTGCTAGTGAAAACTCCTAATTTAGGTGATGCAAACAATAATTTCTACTTGAAGAGCTTCCTTACGTTTTCAGTAACAGTAAGCTGTGGAGGGCAAGGCACGATGTTGCGTGTTGGCATTGTCTGATGTAAGCTGTACTACTAACTGGAATGGTATTTGGTATAGGGACCAGCACTGGACTAAAATTTTATTACTTTCTTAGTGATTTTTCTAATGGCTAGGATACCAACAGATACTATTTGGAATGACCTTCCTATTTTAGGACTGCAGTTACAAAAACTAAAAAATACACAAAAAATATTGGAAAAAAAAATCCTTACATCTTCATCATCCTCAAAATAAGTACCTGTTGAAAGATAAAACCTACACTGAGCCAAGCAAAAATTTCTTACAGATTCCTCTTGTC